TGTTACTTTTTAATTCTGGACGTACTAATTGGTTACTATTTTAAAAATAATTATCAAGGCCAAGTTATGATAAAATTGTTGACGATAACTTATTGTGCTAATTTTGTTACACGAAAATTTAATATTATTCACAATTAACGAACGGATGTAAAACAAATACAAATTGAGCTTGTAATTTTCACGAAATTTATATATTATGATATAATAACTTACACATATAAATATGGTTTACTTAAATAAATAAAAAAATATKGAGAGAATACATAGATAAAACATATTATTTACAAATAAATAGAATATAAATAATAGTCGACGTGTCACAATAATGCATAATATAAAATTAAAATAATAATATAYGGGCACGACGAAAAGGATATTTTCTAAAATAGAATCGTCGACGTACTATACAACTGCACGTGTCGTCAAATTTGTAAGTACACTTTCGACACCGGTGTACGTACTGGCGAGTCTCCCGTTTCACCCAAATCGTGTATATACCGCATATATATTATGCAATATCTTATTATATAATAATATTATACACTCACAAATCGACCGTTTTTATAAAAAAATAAATAAAAAAACTTAATTATAATATGTTGTATTTACTGCGCAAACGCGTTTCATAATATTATATGTACTCAATCATATAAAAATAATAATATGATGTACGTCGTATGCGCTTCAATAATATAATAATAATATGCATTGGGCGTTGTGTCTTAGTCTAGATTTTCGATTCATTTTTCGTTGGCATGATCGTCTTCCGGCGTGGGAATGTAAGCACGGTACGCCACCCAATGCGGTTCGTGTACCATAGACTTTCTCGCCCAGCCGCTGCCACCGTGTCCATTGACGCCCGCCCAGCCACTGGGCACTCCAGTGCCTAAAGGTAAAAAAAAAAATCATAAAAAAATAGATCGTAAACTGTTGTCGATGGAAATGATTGATAAAATTGGCCACGTCAGCCTATTGGTGGTCAGTCCCGTAACAACGCGTAGGCGATGACAAAGCAAAGTACTATACTATACGCRTAAACTGTAAACTGAGGTCTTATATCCGACGTCCCATGACTCATGAGACAATAATAATACAGTCGAGTCTCAATTACTTGAAAACCTCGAAAAATCAAATTTTTTTTCTTGCCCCTTGAATACCTGTTTTAAGTCGTAAATACAAAACTCAAAGTTTTTGAAATTAATATTTTCGAAAGTCGCATAAAATTATGTCTTATTGATGACTTATCCATTATCACTAACATTATATTCAGATTTTGAACACTTATTTTTTTAACATTGCATTAAAACATTTAAAAGGTTCCTTAACAACACACATTGTGTGAATTCCACAAACATATAATTATTCATTATTATATTATACGATACTATTAATCTAGGTTCATCTGTTTGTAATCGAATTGTAAATGTATGGTGTTTTATATGTATGTAATTTGTTATAATTTTAATTGACTATCACTGATTTTCGTGTTGTGAGAAATATCAACAAAAATATTGAAATATATGTCTTATTTAGCTATGTATAACCTCGAACTAGATCTAAACGATGTAAACCATAACAATTAGCGGTCGTTGTGGTTACGGAGATTCTATGTAAAATGCAAGTCATCGTCATTTTTCTCTCATACCTGATGAATAGGAGTCTTGGCCGCCGGCGTACGTGTTGTCGCCACCGCCGATGTGCGATCCCGCTGAGTAGCTATCAGCACCGCCGCCCGTCGACCAACCTGTTGCTGTGTGACCGGACACCCATCCTGCCGCAGTCCCAGCGCCGTATTCCGCAGCACCACCACCACCTCCCCCATGACTGTCGTGTACGATGATCACTTCTTTGCCTAAGTCGTTTGACGTAAGTTTGTCACCGGTATTGTCATTTTTACTACCCGCGTGTATGTACTTACCAGATCCACCTCCGCTCTTCTTGCCCTTCATCAACTGCGCCAAGCTCATCAGGAGGGCGATTTTGCTCAAAATCAGCGCTTTTATGGCCTTCACCTTGATCATCAACATCATGAGCGGACCCATGAGAGCCATTTTACCCATCAATCCCATCATCATCATGTGCATCATTTTCTTGTACTTTTTACTCTTTCCTCGACCTGATTTCAAAAAAAAAGATTAAATAATTTTTACAATAGTTACGAAAAAATTAGCGAGAGAGATCTAACGTATTCTACTGTTCATTCGGTGGTATGGAATAATTATAAATTATTGCTAATTGTTGTTATCTGGTAATGTGATGCGTGTAACGATTATACACCATACGCACATACCAGCTATAATATTCATTTATTTATTTCCCATGTGGCACCTCCCGGTGAAATGGAATTTTATAATAATATTTATACGAATTGCAAATTTAGTATGAAATTAAAATAATTGTTTTATCGAAATGATAAATTCTCATTAAAAATATCGTAAGGTACTTCGACTCCAATAATTATTGGCACGTACTGCGACATAGCTATTTTTTGAAAGTACGATAGGAGTTTAAAAAAATATAATTTGTGCCTAGAAACATTACAATAATAATGTATACACTATACATATATTACAATGTATACAACGTTCGTATTATAATTTGTAACGATTCGTAACACGTTTTACATTTTCTTCGGGGAGTTTCCTTTAATAATAACGCGTTAATTAAACCATATGGAAAATATAAGCAATTTTCCGTCGTCGTCATACGCTACAGGTTTTCGAATAACTTTAATACTCCGAATCCAATCGCAGCGACGACGCCTAAAAGTGAAAATTCGACATCTAGTATAAAATATATCATGTTATTATTGTTATTTGTAGTTTGTCCATCGTCCACAACGATCGCCGTTGCGGATGTAAAAGTGCTAAATATAAAGATCCAAAGTGTGAGAAATGTCATTTTTATCGCATTACTAAAAAGAACAGTTGTGAAATTCAGTGTGACGTTGCAACTCTGTTTATTGTGAGAACGAATAAATTAATTTATGGCGCTCAAATGAAATAACAATACAAATCATTTCTTGTAAAAATKTTTGTTATATTATGTATTGATTAAAATGATAAACTATGTCCTAATTTTTAAAATAATAATTTAAATTGTTTTTAACTATTAAAAATCAAATGATATTCGTTAGCGAAATACATWATAGCTGTGATTGTAAATTTTCAATTTTTTAATACTTGGTCCAAACATCAATATACTATTTCYATTTTGCCAAGACAAGACGTAATTTGATTATGTATTATGCAGTTGTTTTTTTTTCTATGGATTTAATCATCACGTGATAACGCTTTAACATAGTCATATATTTATTATACCTCAACACGTACAAGTCGTACAATATAAATAAACAGTATTTGTCAATACACACTGACAAACTGTAATCTGCCACTTGATCCAATTGATAAACCTAACCTAACCGATTAAGGGCCAWTCTTACAATGCTCGGTTAGTGCCTGATAACACTAACCGGAAGAATTTATCATGAGTTAACCGRTAGAATTCTAYCGGTTAGTCTTAACCGACACTTAACCGGACATTGTAAGAACGGCCCTAAGAGTCACTGGCTTATCCTATATATAACATTGGAGGTGGCTTTGTGAGGCGCGATCGTACGCTCAATCTGCGGAAACGCTCAAAGCGTACGTACTTTTCGCAGTAGCTAGCTTTCGGATGGGTGACCACCCGAGATTTTTAGCAACATATCCTTGCCACTTATACTCAAACACGTGTTACAAYCCTACCAACTAACCAGCTCAAGAATCTACAAACAAAAATATACAAAAATAATCCTCACCATACTACCCACACCCAATGGCCTATGTTGCCACGGGTTGCGCTTAAAATAAAAAAAAATAACATTGAAGGCAGACACAATGTACCTTCTCCGATGGCTCGAGACAAGTTTATATCCAAAGTGTTTCCGGCGATGGACCGAGCGCTTCCTTTTAGCGCTGCTGTGATTCCGGATGGCAAAGTGACGCGAAGAATGTGTGACCCGATGAAACGGTCGAGTGTGTGTACCATGAGTGCGGACAGGGCGCTCTGTTCATCGACGGTGTTGAGTCTGGCCATCAGATCAGTCTCGTTCAGTGGTGGTCGCATATCCCTCTTGATCCTGACCACCGATAACAGATCACCCAAAACGCTAAATCCTGGAAAAATATAACCATTTGTGAGTATAAGACAACAAAATAAACCTATATACATTGGTTAGATAACTGAAATAGATACGTATTACACTCTTACGTTTAACTAAAAACGCATAATATTATTTTGTTGAAAAAGGAAAAATAAGATTTTTGAATTCGTCCATACTTTTAGAGCGTGTTTCGCCAATGAAATTATTTCATTATCTGGAAATTCACTTATTCACTGCAAAGTCATASAAAACGAACAGTAATAATTCAGTGAATTAAATTTACAGACTTATGAGTAGGTAGTTGGAAAGTAACATTTTTCATATAAGYGTTATTTTGTATCATGTTATTATTTTAATAAAATATGTCATGTTTTGTTACGAATCGTTACGAGGGATGTGCAAGTACAGGTAATATCGGTACGTGATTAATTTTAATATAAATTAATATACATGACCTAAAGWCGTAATTTACTAGAGACGATCACGTGAATGGCAACAATGACACCAATCAGTCGGTTGTCGTAATTTTTTAATAGTATTGATCTAGATTTAAAACGTCAAAACGATCCGCGAATAGTAATACTAGCTATTATCAACTACAGTTGTCCAGTCATTGTATTGTTATTGAGATAATCTCAATTCAAGACTCTCAGTTGGAGAAAACTAATCGACCTAGAGGGTGGTGGCCTGTTAAAATAAAAATGTTTCAAACAAATGGATGATAACCTTGCCCCAGACTGATGATTTGTCACGGCCGTTTAATAAAATTATTCTGTAAATTGTTGTCTCTGAATTTTGTCATTATTATTWTTTTTTATTTTTTTTTACTCTCTATACAGAGCTTATATAGTAAGTATGATTTTATTCTCTGTCATCCCGACTAGAGCAAAAAATTGTGAATCGCAATTTGAACAGACGTTGCAGTACAGTGGATGGTCACACTGATGTAGTCGTTTAGGGAGAAAACTTCAAGAGAGTTTATAGAGTTCCCACACGAAAAAAAAAAGAAATAATGCGTTATTATAATAATGTATGGGTTCAGAGAAGAGATCTAGAACGGAGGAGTGGTGACATCGTGACTGGTCAAAGATCTAGCATGAATTTGTAGTGAACGTAATAAAAAATTCGAAAGAAAAATAAAGAAAACTTCAGAGCAAAGTACCTGATAAAATTATAATTACAAAGGGTTTAATACACACACACACACGCGCAGGAATGCTTGCGCACGTTCACTTTATGGTAATATTATTGTACTTACTATAACTATATACACATGGCAAATGGGATTTATAATATGTGTACAGTATGAATAGGACGAAGAACACAATGGTTCGTCTTCACGACGTCGTGTGACCCATTAATGGTGTTTAAATACGATGAATCCGAAACGGTGACAGTATATGATGATGATGATGATGGTGATGATGATGATGATGATGATAATGATGATAATAACAGAAACGACAACAATATACTAATAATAGTGACCGTCGTCGTATAGAGTATCGTTTGGTCGATATAAATATGAAAATATGATTTTTAAATTATTATTATTATAATTATAATTATCACACATTAAACCCACCGGAGGTATACTATAATATATTCGCCGATGTGGGTTACAGCGTTTTCCCGACAATCTGCTTTCCTGCAGCCTACGCGTCAATTGAAATCGCATCTCGCCGCAGAAGAAACCGTCGCGAATGATAAAGACGGATACTTTATATTGCCATTATATTGTAATAGACCAGTTTGCGATAAATAAACGAAAACTAAAATATATAGTATTAAACGTGAAAACAAAAGTAAACAACAGATACTCACAGTACAATAATAATAACAACAATAACAATAATATCGACTAGCTGCATACTATATAATATATACATAGGCATGCTGCAGTTTGCCAGCGTTTCTAATTCAACGGGAATACCGACAGATTTTGCTAATTTCCGGAGCCGAAAACAATAATAATATTTTTTTTTTTAACTCTCCTATCTCATTTTTTGCGGGTCCTCTCTTTAAATGACGGTCCAATATAATGTCTAATTATCAAGCGCAGAATGTACGTATTTTAGTATTATTMGCGATTTCGGAACAAAATAAATAAGTCGGTGGTAATAAAAATCAATTATATTGTATAGGTTCTCGAAACAAGACACGTGCTATTGTATCATAGTTAGTCGTTGCTTTGTGAATGTGTTTACGTACCTAGGTTATTAAAACGTCTTTATAGTATATTAATTTAATATGTAATGTCAATAATTTTATCAATAACCGATAGAAGGTGGAAGTGTCTTGTCAACACACCAAATCGTTTGTTCAGTGTTTTTTTRCGTTTTGTATTTTGTACTAATGTAGTTGTCTGTTTTTAAAAYTTGTTTTTAACCGATTTATAGGTACTTTCGATTGTATTTAATGCTCGAAGAAATCCGATTCAAACTCAATCTTTCGATTTCAATAGCGTCGAACGGGTTCGGTATTTTGACGTTTATATTAGATAGGTATACCTACTATTATAATTATGGAAAAACCTATTTCAATTTCTATTTGGTTTTGTCACTTTTTTTGCTCTCTCGATACATTTAGATAATTTGATTTCAAAACGATCCAATGTTATAAGGGTCATCATAATTCAGTTATTAACAATTGACAAGGATGATTACTACCTATTTTGTTCCTACAACACCATAGTGAAAAAAAGTGTTTATGCGTCCATCGATTTCGCTGGTCTAATCGCATTTAATCTCTGATCGTACAAACTTCACAAGCACTAGCAGTTTGCCTAAATATAAATCAATTATAATAATATCGACCTACTCGTACTTCATASCATTCAACGAATTTCTACTTTTTTTGTACTTTACAATTCAACACGTTTTCATAAAAATATCGTTCACTATTATGATCCAACTCGGGCGGGCTTGTTTAGTTTAGTTATATGCACCAATAGTATAACACATATCATACACTACAGCAGCCCACTCTTTGCGTTATTCATTCCTTTGCAGTAATATACACGCGATGATGTATTGGTTTTTTTTTTCACTCTTCCCATTTCCCAGTGGTGAGAAGCATGTGGAAATTCCATCACCCCATAGCCCAGAAATAATAATAAGAAAAATAATATGGCACGGAACACAATAGGACATTATAGGTGCATTATATACGTAGGTATACCTCGCACTAGAACACGTCATTGTGCTGCTTATTCTCCATCGATTGTAAATACAGAACGATATTGTAATGAGAGCGAGTTATTATATTATTGTACGCTTATGTTATCGTTATTATTATAGAAATGTCGTAAAATATTATTAAAAGAAAAAAAACGATTATATGAGTGTTAAAAAATAAGACCAAATACCTACAGTCTTCATCGCCGGACAACACACGTTTAATACAATATATTATTATTTATCTTGAACATCATCGCATTGTCAGTGCAAAACGTGTGTTTATTTTTTTCATAATRAAATGAAATTCGGCGATTGACGGGTAATACAAATCCGGCACGTCACGTACGACGGGATTCGAACGTCACGTCGTCGTACGTTTAAAACGAGCCTAACTATTATTATTATAATATTATAATACTTAATATTATACTCAAATTCATTATTCGGTGTGGTAAATTTGATAATGTATTATTAAGTATAACGAATATTGTAAGGACGTGTCATTATTATTATGTGATATTTGAAGAGACAATATTATTATGCCTATATTATTTAAAAGCACATTGTTCTTTGACCACTCTAAACTACTAGAGTAATATGGAATCGCGATCAATAAAGATCATAATGCCATTATAGTATAGTACGTTCATGTCATGCGGCCTGGCTGAGTTAGTGAAATGAACGTAGGGAACCGTGACGAGTTTGTGTGTATTTAAAATTGAATCATACCGAATCACAAATAAAAAATATAAAATATAATATATATGCAATAAAAATGATTGATATATTTTTTTATGTGTATATACAATATGAATAGTATTTAAATATTTTACATTCGGTCTGACTGAAAATGAAAACCCAGGCTGATTTCACCAGGTTTTCAACTTAATTTTGATATTTTCCACGGGAACCACGTCTTTCTCTCAACAATTGTTTGCGTATTGAATTGATCATTGTATTTTTATTATTTAAAATAATGGATTCCTCTGAAGTTATTAGTGTCAAATTATCGAGTAATTTATATATTTGTTTTGTTACACAATTCAATCGAATTTTTTTTTCTCCTGCAGATTCTATCTTATCCGTARAATGGTCGTTGGTATATTTGCTCATTTTTTGCCTTAGGTGTGAGTTACTTTACATTTATCAAGAAATATTGAAGAAATATAGATATTATTACTTTGTTACTTTCTAACCATTTTAACAAAAAAAATCGAATTTGGTCGTTATTAGTTGTTGTCAGAAAAAGATCTTCATCCTATCTATCCGAAAGTAAACTGTTTAATTCTACGCCTAAATTTCGGCCACTGGTATTAAGCGTTTCACTTCAGTAAGATCTATTGTCAAATTTGTGAATGGATATTTTGGTGCTAGTTTAACAACTACTGACTATAACCTAACTATATGCTACTTAAAATGTTTTTCCGGCTTTCCTATGCCTACATATATTTTTATTTTTGTTTTTTTGTCAAAGAATACCAAATCGAAACAAACATGGCCATAGAAATCACTTAAGGTGACCAAACCCCGTAAAAATGATGATGCGATGACTCTTACAATTATCAAAACTCTAACACTGGACACGTAATTGTATACATATTATCTTCTATCTGAGAATTGAGATAAATAAAACGAAAAACTGCAATTATAATTCTTTTATTCACATTTAATCCGCACAGAAGTGGAGCAATTTATACATCAATAAATAATAATACATGGATAATATTAAAAAAAAAAAATATATATATATATATACATAAACCTTATACTATTTAATAATGTATCCATCTAGTATATTTGTATACCTATCAGTCATACATGGAGATATTTAAAAAATCTCTCATATCAAGAACATTTGTAAGCATTTGATACTGTAAATATTATATGACATATTTAAAGCACYTATATTGTTATTATAATTGTTCCTGGAAATGTTTATATAAATATAGGATATTATAATTCGTTGATAAATTATAATAATGTATAAAAAAGTTTTTCCAAACTGTATAGGTGGCATATTACAATATATATCGTCATAGTTTATTAATTTAGAAACACTAGAAACCAAATTGCCCAAATTATACGGAAAATATGGCGAAAGGTCAATTTTTATAATTTGCTACCTAACTATAAACTATGGGTTTAATGGGCTACAATTTTCTTAATGTCACCTCAATGTACACATCTATATAATACAATAAAATTAAGTGACCATATACCTACATGGTAGTACGGTACCTACTCGTACAACTACTTAAGTAGTTATATCATTATTTTTTTTTTAATCATATCACAGTATTATTTTGTTTATTAAATTTAATTAAATATATTTTAACATTATGATGGTATAATATAAATAAATATTTTTTTAGTCTTCGTAACTACACAATAAAATAACGCAGTCACGTATTAAATTACCAACGGCAATAATTTAATAAAACTAGTGTCAAACGTTTATCGTTTACATTTTTTATAGACATGTTACTGCACATAATAAATTATAATATTATAGCGATGAGAGTGTTTTTTTTTTCGAATTTACCACATATTTTAACGACTTAGATAGGCACTTGTACTTAGGTTTGACGGTTATATTTTAAATTGAATAAAAACTGTTGTCTTCTGTCTTTTAATTTTAATTTTATTTGCGACACGGCACAACGTTATAACAGTTATATTATTTTTGTTTATATATATAATTTRTGTTACACATGTTATTTGCGGCGCTCGGAAAAAACTTCTCAGTAGATTTCACGGACGGAATACACGGACCGATAATTTGTGCTTCGAACGCATAAAGCGCGTTACACGCCCAGAAACCGATTTCGCACAAATCCGTTTTCACAGAATAATGCCATATAACCATTGTATATAATATAATATAATATATATATTTATAATTTTTTTTTTATTATTCGATCGATCATCGGACGATTGAAACCTGTAAGCTATGGAGGGGTTTGGTACTTTTGCAGGTTACAAGTGTGCGTACCGTGTCGTAATGGGTAACAATAGGTGCATTTCAGGTATAAGATGTCAAAGGATAATCGGGATACTGTATTGGATGGCGTGCGTACGAAAATATTAATAATTATTATSGAATGGTATGAAACATTTTAATCGATCGTTTCTAAATCAAAGAACAGGTTTGAACCTGTGTCCTGTCGGTCATGGAGCTGCCGACTAGGTACCCGCGACGAGTAAATACGATTACGATTATCTACTACGACCATCAACGCTCACCTTTCATCCTGCCGAGCTTGTCCAGGAACAACAACAACTTGCGCTGGACGCACGGAAACGACAGCTGCATCAGACAGTCGGTGTATATGTCGACCAAATGGGCACTCGGGTCGGTGGTCGGGTCGTCCTGCTTCTCTTGCAACAGCGAGTTGGTTGCGGTGCCGGTCGCCTGGTCGGAACCCATCGTRAAGCTTAGGAACCTCGAGTCCCTGCTGTCGTCTTCGCCACTGACACTGGTGCTGTTGTACACCACTATGGTCGGCGGATATTCGGTGGAGCTCGTTGCATCGGAGGCCGCGTGCTCCGTGATCCAGTCTGCGGTCACCGAYGAACCATTCGCTACCACGGTCGCGGTCGCGGTCGCGGTTTCCGGGACAGCAAGGGCACTGGCGGACGCGCACCAAGCCGCCGCGGTCAGCAACATTGACACCGCGCACGACACCATAGTAGTAATATCGCACGTCGTGCCGGCAACGAAAGTAAGACGACGGGTTTATGTGTTATAAATTATTTTAGCGATAATCAACGTGGACGCTAACGGTAGAAACRAATAAAAAGAGACGCGTATGACAAATTAGCTATTAAATATTTATAATTCACAGGGTTTATGCCGTACGCGAACGTTACCAGAGAAGTATAACTACAACGAACACGAGTCCAAGACGTTTTATACGGCCGTCTGAGCGGGCCTTCCAGTATTATTATAGTAGCTGTAGCAGACTCCCCTTCCTAAACGACGACACCCGTGAAGATCTCGTGCGACTGCAGCTGCAGCCAGTGGCGGTGGCGTTAAGGCGAAACCTAGGCGAAGATAATACGCGCACCGTCGTCGTTTTTACCGTTGTCGCTTTTTTCAATAATAATAATTGTTAATCAAAAATCAAAAGACATCAACGATGTAATATTACTATCGTGGTAATGATTATACGAGGTAATAGATATTAATATAATTATTATATTATTATCTGCCCGTGGAAACAATTATATCCTGACCTAAAACACA